AAGAGGATCATAGTGGCTGGTATCGTCGTATAGAAAACAATGGCTGGAGGCCAGTTTCTGATACAGTAAGAAAAATGTTAATTTTTAATCTTATGTATTTAGAAACCCATTTGTATTTTTGTATTTAATTTTAAAATTAATTTTAAAATTATTTTTTAAAATAATAAATCCTAGTAATTTAATTGATACATTTTGCTTAAGTTAGCTACTCGGGGGTTGCTAATAATACTTCAAGGCACGCAATTTATCTTTTTATTACATTTAATTTTACTTTTAATTATCCACTTTGAATCTAGGCCATCTTTAGATACTCTCTGGTACTCAGCAGATTATATACTCAGTATGCGGATTGTAGAATGTGGTTGTTGAATATATTAACACTAAGTATGACCAGGCACTGTGGCTCATGCCTGTAATCCCAGCACTTTGAGCTGAGATGGCACCACTGCACTCCAGCCTGGGCAACAGAGTGAGACTCTGTCTCAAAAAAAAACAAACAACAACAACAAAAACAAACAAAAGAATATACCAAGTATGAAAAGTAAAAATGATCAAGGTATGAATTCATTCATTTGTTTAATAAACTATTGCATATCAACCATATACCAGACATTGTTCTGGATGCAGGGGATAGACTTAAGTAGTTTGCCTTTCAATTAGGGAGACAGTCAAGTAAACAGGATATTTCAGTACAGTGTAGTAAATATGTTAAGTGGTTTAATAAGGGCAAATATATAGTGTTTGGAAGGATTAACAAACTCTCCTTATTATCTAGGGTATGTGTGATAGAGCAGGGGGAATGAGCTGGAGGGTGAATATAGACAACCAGTTAGGAGAAAGTGTCATAACGGGGAAACCACAAAGTCTTAGGACATGGTACAGGGACTTCTGCATTCCTGAAGGGTGGCTGTACTCTTTGAGAATTAGAGTCATCAAAAGCCATCGGCACTAAGAGTAGGTCAGGTCTATTCATATGAGAAGATGAGACACTCTTAGAATATATCTGTTTATCCATTCAACAAATACTTATTAAGTACCTCAGTACACTAGTACTTTGTTGGTCTATCTGTAGCATGTGCTTCTGAAGGCTGAGTGTACTACTCACCCGTCACTTAATTAGAAATACCTTGAAAGTATCTATCCTCTCCTCTGTTTCTATCTTGGCATATTCCTACTGAACACACAGAAGTTCTTTTCTATTGCCAGATAACCTCACAATCAATATTTCAACATTTTGTATATTCGTTTTTGTTTCTCAATAGTTTTGGCTATCTACTGACAGTATAGTGGTAGAAGACAAAAAGGAAAGTGAATTCCATTTCTCTAAACTGAAGAGAAGGCAAGACTTGGAAAAGAAAAGAAAACTTAGGAAAATAGAGTGGATGAGGCAAATGTAAGTTGATGAAACACTTACTAAGGAAATATGTAGTATTTGGGGAAAAAAACAAATTTGAAATGAGGTATTGCTCCTCACAAGAGGGCATTAGCTGCAGGGGGTCTGCCCGCAGACCCTGACCCAAACGACGAATGAATAAAATGCACACTGACACACAGATACTCTGTTTTGCCCATCCTGCTGAGTGTCCGACCGCCTACACACCAAGAGAGGCTTGTCACTGCGGCTGGCCACCGTCAGCCAGGGAGACTCATATTTATTCATTAAGATTAGTTAACAAAAGCTTGAGTCAACGCCATTAGAGGGTAACTGACATTGTGGACTTCCCCAGTAAAAAGCACACATCAAAGGCTTGTCTTAAGACCACATGAGTAAACAAGCTAACTAGATAAAACTTCCCCACATCCCGTTGTTTACTACTTTAAACTTTTTAACTAAAGGTAATGGGACCAGGCCGCCTTCGGCCCAGTCTATTACCGAAGTCATGTGAAAACCCTTAGGCCTTCCAAAAAGGTTTTGTGGCCATCATAACTAATATTTTTCCCAGCAGCCTGATTGAATCCCAACATTGGAGAACTATACCGCCTGATTTCAAGACTTACAAAGCTACTGTAACCATGATATTGTAGTATTGGCATATAGACAGACATATAGGTCAATGGAACAGAATATGGAATTGTGAAATAAACCCCCATGTGGCTGGGCATGGTGGCTCACGTCTGTAACCCCAGCACTTTAGGAGGCCGAGGTGGGCGGATCGCGAGGTCGGGAGATCGAGACCATCCTGGCTAACACGGTGAAACCCCGTCTCTAGTTAAAAGGAAAAAAAAAAAAAATTAGCCGGGAGCAGTGGCGGGCGCCTGTAGTCCCAGCTACTCGGGAGACTGAGGCAGGAGAATGGCGTGAACCCGGGAGGCGGAGCTTTCAGTGAGCCGAGATCACGCCACTGCACTCCAGCCTGGGCGACAGAGCGAGACTCCCTCTCAGAACAAACAAAAGTATCAAAGACAGAAAGTGGAAGTTACAAGGCTTTTTAAGGCCTTATCTTGGAAGTCACAGCAACATTTATTCTGCATTCCGTTGGTCAAACTCAAGTCCTAACAGGCCTAAGGGGGTCAAGTAAAAGGTGGGACTCACAGGAAGTTCCATATACATTACAGCTTCACTTGCAGTACAGAGGGGAAGGGAAGTCCTTCCGCCGGGATAGAACCTCAAGTAGCATACCTGGTTGTATATTGTGCCTGGAAGAAAAGATGGCCAGAAGTACAGATCTATAGATGGATGGTGACTGATGGTTTGCCTGGATGGTCAGGGATTTGGAAAGAACATGGGTTAGAAAATTGGTGACAAGTGGTCTGGGGAAGAGGTATGTGCAGACTTCTCCAAATGGGCACCAAGTGAGAAGATGCTTGTGTCCTATGTGAATGCTCACCAAAGAACAATCTCAGCAGAGGAGAATCTTAATAGTCAGGTGAGCAAGATGACTCATTCCTTGGAATCAGTCTTTCCCCGCAGCCACTGCTATCCTTTCACTATCCAGCCTGGATGACAGAGTGAGACTCTGTCTCAAAATAAATAAATAAATAAACCCCATATATATTGTTAATTAATTTTCAACAGAGGTGCCAAGGGAACTTAATTGGGAAAAAATGGTCTTTTCAACAAATTGAATATTCAAATGCAGAAAAATGAAACTTGAGTGTTATCTTACAGTATATGTAAAATTAACTGAAAGGAGATCATAGATCTAAATATAAGAACAAAAACCATAAAGCATCTAAAAGTAATTGATGGAGAAAATCTTAGTGTCTTTTGTTCTGGCCAAGATTTTTTAAAGAGGAAACAGAAGCTAGGAACTATAAAAGAAACAATTTTAAATTTTACTTCATCAAAATTAAAAGCTTTTGTTCTTTGACATGTTACAAAAATAAAAATACAAGCCATAGACAGGGATAAAACATTTGCAAAATATATATCTGACAAAGGTCTTGAATCAAGAATATGTTAAAAAAAAAAAAAAGAAACCTCTCAGTCACATTTTAAAGTGGGCAAAAAATTTGAATAAACACTCCATCAGTGAAAATATATACATAGCAAATTAGCATAACTCAACCAATGACTGTCATTAATCATTAGAGAAATGCTAACTAAAACGATAATGAGATACCACTACACACCCACTAGAATGACTGAAATAGTCTGTCATGCCAATTGTTGGCAAGGATATGGAGCAAATGCCAATTAGTGTGTGTACTTCAGAAAACAGTTTGGCAGGTTTTTTTTAAAACAAGTAAACACACCAACTATTCTACCTAGTCATTCCACCCCTACATATTTACCCAATTGAAATAAAAACATGTCCACAGAAAGATTGTATGTGAATATTCATAGCTGGTTTATTTGTCATTGTAATAGCGAAAAACCAGAAACAGCACAAATGTGCATCAGCAGGTGAATGGATAAATAAGTGGTAGGATATCTGCACAAAGGAATACTACTCAGCAGTGCAACAGAATGAACTACTGATACACAGAACGACATGGACAAACCTCAAAATAATGCTGAATGAAATAAATCTGTCAAAAAAGAGTACATACTCTATGATTTCATATACATACAGTTCTAGAAGACATAAATCTGAAGTGACACAAAGCAGATCAGTAGTTGTCTGGAGATAGAAAAGAGGAAAGAGAGAGGGATTCCAAAGGAGTACGAGGAAACTTTGGAGGGTGATGGATAGATTCATTTTTTATGGTAGTGATGGATTTACAGGTATAATGGACATATCAAAACTGTACATTGTACAATTTAAATATGTGTAGTTTATTGTACATCAACCATACCTCAATAAAATAGTAAAATAAAAAAATTTAAAAATCTGTGCAGAAAATCCGAAGACTTCCCTGGCAGCTCTGGAGTGGTCCTTTATCTCATAGCCGCAGCATGGGTTGAGGGCAACCCTGGGTTCCATTGCAAGGGTCACAGGATTACAATGCCTACAGTACTACCAAATGCTTAACCCTGCCAGGTCTTTTGCACTAACATAGGGGGAGAAGAAGTAGAACCCTGAGCCCTGGGATTAGGACATTTGGGCAAACATACACAAGGCTAAGAATCTTGAAATTCCAAAGTGCCTTGTTGGTGTAGGGAACCCTTGCTCTCCCTTTTGAGGGAAGCAGCGCAGCCCTTTTCTGCATAAAAGCCTTTCAGTGACTGCAGTGGCACAGTTGCCACACACACGTATGCTGATTCTCCTCAGGATTCTTCCTCCACTATTTCTCATTGCCTTTAGCTCACAAGGAGATTTGTATTTCAGGACAGCCCAGACAAAGGTACAGGGTCCACTCCAAGAGGAGATCGTTTATAAACCAGAAGAGTTACAAGAAATTACTAATCTATATTGCCAGGAGTCTCAGAAGCATTGTGTGAGGGTGGATTCTAAGGCTGTTAGATCAAGAGTTGGCTGAGCCAAATTTAGTGATGTGGCCATACTCACCTGGGATTGTGGATTTAATGTTTTGGCCAGAAATTATGTTAATGGTCTGTTAAGTTAGCTAATCAAAGCCTGATTTAGGTAGAGCCAACCAAAGCTCAACCTTTGCAAAATGCTGGAACTTCTCTGGTATACTATAGTGTAGCAGGATTGATAAGGAATCAGAGAGACCGATGGGATTGAGGAGGATATTTATTATTTTAGGTGTACCAGCCCAGTCGGATTAACATCCAAAGGACTGAGCCCTGAACAGAGTTAAGTTACCTTTTAAGCACTTCATGGAGTTGGGGGAGATCTGTGCAGGGGGAAGCATGTTACAGAGGCGAGAAACCATAGTTAATTCAATTAATTGAGACATGCATTACATCATTTCTTACTTTTCAAGGAAAACATGTTTTATGACTTGAGTTTATTTGTCTAGTGACCTTGCAGCTGCACAGCTAGAGAAACAGGGTCTTTACAATGCCTGGGAAAGGAGGAGAGATAAGGCTCACTAGCCACAGAAAAACAGGCAGTTAATTTTTAAAGCACTCCAGCTCTTACTCCTTCTCAGAGGGAATTGGGTTTTCTTATGTACAGCTGAGTTTCTGTTTACACATTCTTTAATTTTTTTTAATTCCTGTTCCATTAGAAAAAGGATTTCTAAAAGTTCAGGGAATTGTGTGTTTGTTTCTGTTATGTGCAATCTACTAACCCACCATCTAGCCATCACCGCAGGAAGTCCCAGGAGATACCTTTTTCATCAAGCTATGAAGTAATAGCTTGGTGAAGGGAGCAGCATATTTCTTTCTCTCTCTCTCTTTTTTTTTCTTTGAGACGGAGTCTAACTGTCACCCAGACTGGAGTGCAGTGGCGCAATCTCGGCTCACTGCAACCTCTGCCTCCTGGGTTCAAGCAATTCTCCTGCCTCAGCCTCCCGAGAAGCTGGGATAACAGGCATGCACCACCATGCCTGGCTAATTTTTTTGTATTTTTAGTAGAGACAGGGTTTCACCATATTGGCCAGGCTGGTCTCGAACTCCTGACCTTGTGATCTGCCTGCCTGGGCCTCCCAAAGTGCTGGGATTACAGGCGTGAGCCACCATGTCTGGCCCAGGAGCAGCATATTTCTTGATGAACTCTGTGGTGGCTGTCCTTTACAAGGCTGGAGATGACAGTGGGGAAAGCTATGATGGAACTGGTCCCTTTAGTTCACTGGGACTAATGGAACTTTGAAGTGGTAGAGGTCAGGTGATGACACAATTGCAGTGAGGCTTCCAGATGTGGCTTCTTCAACAGAGCAAATCAACACAGCGCCAGGTACCTGGTATGCTGCAGCTGACCTGGCAAATGTGTTCTTTCCCATCCTGATCACTAAGCAATAGGAGATGCAGTCTGCATTTTCATGGAAAGAACAGAGTGTTTTTACATCTTGCTCCCGAAAATATATCAGCTTTCCTGCTCTTGTCCCCAGGGGCTTGTACATCTGTTTCCATAGAACATAATGGCTGTCCATTACATTGAT